TATTTTTTTTAGAGTGCCCTTCACGCTTGAGGATGCCAAACTGGGGAGGTGGAGCCAAGTGCGGTGCTTGTGACAAGACTGTATATCATGCTGAGGAAATCCAGTGCAATGGCAGGAGTTTTCACAAGACCTGCTTCCACTGCAGTAAGCTACATCATTGCAGTTTTGGAATATAAATCCAGCTCGATATAAGTCTCATTTTAATGTGGCATATTCCAATAACTTTACTGCTATGGCAGTAGAGTGGGATATTGGATTTCTGCTCAGAACTGAAGGAGATTTTCTATCATTTATTTTATTCCTGTAGAATTTTGCTCACAAGCAGTGCCCTGTTCTGTAGCATTCTTCCTATAGCAGGTGAATTCAATTAAGGAAAAACTTCATGAGATATACACATCTCATTTGGGGTGAGGGGGAGGGCATTCAAAGGGGATAGCAGTCTTATTTTACTTCAGCATCTTAAGAAACACCATGGGCAACTTCTAGCCCCCGTACTCTGCTCTAGCACTGCATAGAGGTTCTAATCGAGGGATTTGAGCCCTAAGGAGAACGCATCAGGGCAGAAAATGCAAAAGCAAATGCTTTTTCCATGATGGTTAATCCTAGATAAGACTGTTGATGAGTTCTGCTGATGAGTCAGAATAATGAAACTTATTTGTGGGTTATATTGTGCAATGCAGGGTGTCTATATGAGATGCTATGTCACAGTAGTGACAAGCTACTGTGCCATTGCTTGTCATTATGGCAACATAGCATTGGCAGGCACTAATTGTGATGCCACCACTGCTGTGCAGTAGGGTCGAAAATGACTTGTGTACTCCCAGGACTGCACTGTATTGGCACGTACTGTAGTGCAGTACCAACTACACAGTCAGGGGCATGTGTCGACGCTCCCACTCTGTGTGCCAGAATATGTCTTGACTTAAAAATCTTGCCATTGCTGTCCTCAGTAAAGCTAAAAAGATTACAGCACAGATAACAAAACTGTAGTCAAGAGCCATCAGGACAGGAAATCAAGCCAGATTCCGAAAGGGATTTAGGCATTACCATGCCTAACTTCTGGGAACCCTCTTTCCTGATGTAATTCTTAGTCCAGAATTAGGCATTCAGGATTCTTAAACAGTGCATTGTAGAAGCAAGGGATGAGATTCATAAAGGAATTTAGATGCATAAATGGATCTGGATGAAATTTAGGTGCCTAAATCCAAAAGAACAATTCACACAAAACCTGCCCAAATCACTTGGGCGCTAGACAATCCCTAAAGGCTTAAGCTTTCTGGTGGAATATTATTTAGGTGTCTTAAGTTTAGTTATTGGGTGTGGTTGTGTCTGTGGGGATGGATAGGTGTGAGCAGTGAGGGTGTGTGGATATATAGGTGTGGGTGGGTATGGGGTTTGTGGGGGATATGTGTAGGGTGGAGGGTGGCTGAGGTGTGTGACGGGGTGTAGGTAATGGGGTCTGTGTGTATGGCAGTGCAAGGGGGTATGGGACTCGCCACACACACACACACACACACACACACAC